CGACGTTCTTAATGCCGTCGCGTAGTTGGATCTTAAAGTCCCTGTTGTTGCAAATTGGACGGTATATACCCGCCAGCGCGCGCGCTCTCTTGAACGGATTCTTTTTTTGCACGTTGAAGGTCTTGTGTTTTAACTTTAAAAAAGCTTAAGTTTCCGTAATATTGTTTTAGTTATGATTAATTAGTAACGGAACTTCTTTTTGCCCAACTTGATCGGTAATCAAACTCCTGATTAAATAGTCACTCGTATAATTTCAGAACGAATTGGACTCCACTCAGCCCTACCTAATTACTAGCAAGAATCGTCATGGTAACTAGCCCTCGACCAACTTAGCCCTAGTCTCTAACTACTCGGGCCCAGGTGCTCTTGATTGAATACCTATAAATCTGATTGAAAGGGGCTGTTCTCATAGTCTTGACACAGCAGGGATTTTTGTGACCTACTTGCGTACTCTCTTTCATCTGAAGCTCATAAACAAATCAAAAACCGTTTTCTTGCATCAGTACAAACAAGTTGTACGTAGAGAAGTTTGCGGGCGATTTACTGACTCTCATCAAAAGAAAATTCTCTCTTGCTCTTCTGTCCAAAGTTAACAAAGTAGTAAACGAACAATCTGTCGGATTCATTTGAGTGGAATCGAAGGCTCGGTCCCTCTGCAAACCGAGGCAGAATATGATACCATTATGCTGGTGAAAAACGCCACATATTCAGAGGGATCGAGATTTGATTCCTTGTTAGAGAACCATATTTTTACACGATATGTTAGTTATATCCTGCTTTTTTTTCTCTCCTTGCGGATCATAAGTTATTGAAATACATACATATTCACTTGGGATGAATTAACACTGCTGTCTTAACTAAGTGGTGTCCGCTATGCATGGGATTTACTGCCCTTATGTTATACGCCACTTGCACATCTCCCATAATGCACCTTATTTGTCCCCTTCCCCCGCCCCCCCCCCACAAAAAAAAAAAATTGGCCTAACCTTTGCTTTTTATTTCTCCTGGGTATTACAGCCGTCCCTGAAGAGAACTGAAAAGAAAACAATGCTTATGCAAAATTTTGGGGAGCAAATAAGGTGCATTATGGGAGATGTGCAAGTGGCGTTTAGCCGTAACAAGAAAGAACGATTGAAATGTGCAGCAGGAAAAAAAATGGGGATTATTGAGAATTCGTTTTTGTTTACAACAAGAGAAAATACTTGTTTACAACAAATATCCCAGTATAAAGTAACATAACTAGGTAACATTTTTATCCGCTCAGTTTAATTCCGGATCAACTGATTGTTTTGTTTTCATTGGAATTACAACAATAAAGAAAAGTTGCTATTCTTTATACTGTTATCACTGTTTTGTTTATCAAATATTCGCCTGACTTCCGCCACCCACGACACCCTGGAATGGTACTACACTCATCTAAGGCCAAGGGTGGTTTTGAAGTCGTATATTGAGTGCTTTCCGTAGGATGTGCGCAGTTCCAAGATTAATACAATACCTGGTCCAAAGTCTGAATTACTTTTTAATAGCGGCGCATAGATGCCATAACTAATATTTCAGACACCCTAGGAAGTAAGCTATATCTAAAAGCTTAAGGCTAAGCACGACCTACCACCCAATTATCCTGACACTTCCCCCGCAACAAGCAAGCACCCTAAACTAATTTGAAAAATAGGCATTTCATTAAATATTTAACGGGGACTTACTGCAATTGTTTGCCTCACAGACCTCAAGTCACCACTGACAATAAGCTCAGTCTATTTGGGCGCAGTCACTTTTCTGACGACCTCCTCCTTATTTTCTCCGCAATCAGTTCTATTAGAATGGGCAATCTGTTGTACATCTCGAATCGAGTACTCTCGAGCGTTCTTCTCCAATTATTACAATGTACGTATCTCCGCTTCCCCAAAGCTAATCCGATTTTTGCGTACTCATCTTGCCAATTAGGCTGCGAATACTTGCCAATACAAAATTTGAAATTGGGGTCGAGGGTCTACTTGACCCTTTCTAGTACAATTGTGAAGTTTTCGCTAGTTACTCGGACTATTTCAGCAAGGAATTTGAAAGAGAGCAAGTAGCAAGTACCCACGAAGACTTCTAATATCATAATAACTTAGTTAGATTCTCTTCTGAAGGATTTTTCCAAGTATTGTACAAACCAAGTTGTAACTGAGTGTAAGAGCGTTTCACGTACTTTCCACACACCCTAAAAGGGTAAACCAGCCACTGAAGCCTATTTCCAATAGCTACCAAAATTAAATTATGTTATTTCAATGTTTACGATATTTGAACTTAACAGACCACCACCTCTGCTGTTATCGAAAAACATTTCCACCCCAAAAAAGCTGATTCACGATTCACAACGTCTTTAGCTCTTGCGTACATTTTTTTTTGTTCATTTTTGGAATTTTTCAAGGTGGATTGTCCTATCTGGTTTCTTGCCATCGATCTACACAGTTTCTTCTTAGTGCAAAATGATATGCGAAAGACATTTTTATTGAATAATTTCCTACCTCTTTTCTTAAGGAAATCGTGTTACTTCTATAAGCTGTCAGTGTGATACGGTGATTATCAATTTAATTAGTACGGTTAATCAGAATTAGTTGAGATCAGCGAGCTATGTACTTGGCTTGTCAGGACAATTTCAGTAATACAAAGGAAACCATAAACATGTGTGCCAAGCCCGCGCGGGCTGAGTGTACTTGGCCTTGGCTGTCGGCATGCACTGAATAGCCGTTTTCCGGATGTTGTACGATGGTAGCTTTTATAACATTCGCAAGAACTTCTTGCACCCAAAATAACAATCCCCTACTGAACAATTCCCTGCAGGCGGGAAGTCCGAGAAGTAAGGGTAATTAAAGAACACTTTTTCATGCTCTGTTACCTAGGGGTACAGACTATAATAACCTCTGATACGAGGAAACTTGCACGAAAAAATTACCAATCGAATTTACCTACTTTCATCGCCCCGTCTGATGAGATTGATGTCTTTAAGACAAATTTTTTAAAATCCATGGCCTCTTTTAGGTTTCGCCCAAGGAAAAGCCGGCCAAGGTCATCCTAATTTATTTTTCATTCTCTCCATCCCAAAAAGCAACCAAAGCAATCCGATATATTCTTCTTTGTCCTTAAAGAATCTTCGATAAATTTTACTTTTTATCCTTTTTCGCCTGTTCTGGTGAGTACGTTTTAACTGATGGTGAATATATAATTTATTTCACAGGTGATAAAATAAGGTGACTTTCAGATATCTTTTCCTCCGGATTTAGTAAAAAATAAGTCTTGTTTAACAAGGGATTCTAAAGTCGGAACTGGCACCATCAAAATCTGTATGCCTTGGACAGCAGAGATAATCTGTGTAAATAATTGTTTGCCACCAAGGCAGATGAATGCTTCGAAACACGAGGTTAGAATTCCCCTAGAATTTCCGGACCGCTCTCTCAATTATCTGAGTAGTAGCTGTCATTACGCGAGCAGTAGGTCAAGCCACTAAACCCTAGCCAGCCTTCCTAAAAAAAAAGCTCTTTACTACACAAAGCCTTGCCTTACCCACATCAAAAAGTATTTTCGGCACATAAACACTGACCCATGTATCGCACAGTCTTGTACTACGAGTTGAAAGTCGAACGTATCGCGCGCGCCAATTTGTTTTCAAAGCTGTAACTTCTAGAGTTAATTGTCGGTAAAAAAGTGGCAAGAAACGAAAAACCACTCATGCACATAAACAAAAATAAAACAAGAGCAACAAAAAAAGTTGGATATCTGTTTGGTTCAAGACGAATTTGCCTTTTTTTTCTGCAACTGCATCTCGCCAGCTCAATGTATTGTTATGTTATGGTAGCTGGCACAGTGTCCTTTTGTTAATCGCAGAGAAAATATGTTTTGCTTGGGGAAGCCGCAGTTATCAATGAAAATACTGGCGTATTTTCAAAAGGCCTGTGACAGACCCATGCAAAGCGAATTTCCGTAAAACCTGTGCGAAAAGTTAAACGCAGTTTGTTTGGTCATGCAAATCCGCTACTAAACAGACCTAAAGGCCCATCAAAGTTAAAAAGGGTCTCTTTTTTAGCTGACCATGCACTTTGTAATGTCACTAACTTCAAATCTGAGTGAGATTCTTGCGGGAAGCGGGAAATTTAAGTGAGCTTACATTGTAGTGGCTAAAGTTGAGAAAACTGAAATGGCAACATGACATTCTCATTTTGAATTAAAAAAAAGACAGCTACAGACATTGATTGTTAGTTTAAGTTCAAGAAAGGAGAATTGATAGCTGATCTATGTAATATGCCTGGAACATGCAATCAATATTTCGTATGTAAACACTAGGAAGGAAATGAACAAAAACACAATTCTTCTAAATAAGCAGAAGAAGTTTTAAAAGAAGTGTTTTTCAGGGAGAATTTCCTTTGCTTTTATTTGTTGCATGTACAAAAAAAGAACTGTGAAATAAGAATAAAAGACATTTAAATCCTCGGCGACCTGCTACTACCCTCCCGCTGTTTAAAAAATCAAATTATTTGCACGAAAAATATATTATATCCCAACCAGTAATTATGTGGTGGAGAAAGATACCATATACAAAGCTCTATGATGCGAATTGGTACGAAATTTTATTGCACTCAAAAATTACTTTGAATTACAAATTTACCTAAATATCTTGCCAGGCAAGGGAAACGGACAGCCGTCAGTTTCTTTTTATCAGATTATAATTCAATTAACGTCTCACCCAATGCACCACACTCAGCAAAAATTTTAAGTGCCAAAACATGCATTTTATTAACAAATGTAACATATTTTTCGGATGCGTAAAGCGCCGAATCTTGAAAACAAAGATAAAGGGATTTCCGTTGAGGTTTTTTGCGGAGTGTTTTGTTATGGTTATGCGGTTGGGAAATTCAGTTGAGCCATGCTTTTTGAAAACCCAGCTGAGGTCGAGGGGAACCATGCGCAGTTGTCAATGAAAAGTAAAACGCGTGCCGATGATATTTCATTCAACAGACGACACTTGATTAAACCGGAAGTATACGCCTCAGGGGAACTGTTGATGACTATAAAAATCTCGGAAAATTATTTCACAGACTTAAAACTGCAATCCGTCCATCGTGCGCTAGCGCTATTGCGTAAATGGTCTTCCCCCATCCCAAACAAGAATTCTCCGGAATGTCCGCAGTCTTATCCACTTCATTATTTTCGCATCCAACGAGTAACTACCAGAATTATTTCTTCACTAACGCGGAAAATGAGAAGGTAGGAATTTTGAATTTGTAGAGGATTATTCATTGAGGATTAGACATGACTTGTCTTCTAATACAAAATAACATCGTTCTTGCATTGCAATTTCTTGCGTTGGCGTGTAAACAACAGCTTGTTCAAAGACGAGGGCCTTTCATAAAGCATCTGACATGTTTCCACGATCTGCTAGGATAGATTGCCGAGCACTCTCAAGATTTTATGTGATATGACCTTTTCAACTATATGCCACTTTGTCGGCATTGCCTTAAAAAGATTCTCCTTCCAGATGTTACTGGGCCATTAATTAATGAACAACTTCGTGTTTCTCCTGATAAGGAACTGAAAGATATATTATGTTTTCTGTTGGGATTTTTTTCTGTTAGGTAATTATTTTAATAACTTAAAAGACGCCCGCCTTCATTTAACTCATGTGATTGACTTAAGATGAAGCGTAGCAAAGGAAAAAGTATATCCAAACCTTGACCCCATTAAACCTTTGCGGTACAAGTTTGTTTGCGCAGCATTAACTCACATCAAGATATACATCATAGATCTTGTGCGGCGTTTTGTTAGTACGGGACCCCAACGCGCACAGTAGAAAGGAAATTGATGCCACACTACTATTTTTTTAGCGCTCTTGCTTTACTTACTACAAATCAAGTGTTCGCTTACAATGAGAATGTCTCGATTTTAATTTTCTAGACGGTTTTGGCTCGGTTTTCTCCGCTGAATAAATGCTCTGAATTCCGTGTGTTCGGGTATACAAGGTTTTGTACAATTGTAAATTGCTTTACGTGACCTCGACAACCGCGGACAAGTATTATTATAAAGAGTGAAATAGGCTTACAGCCAAGACGACACATAACGGAGCTTTTCTCATGCAACAATATTGCCCCGGGGAAAAATGAATAGCGACAGGCCATACCACAAATATAATGAAATCAGTTCGAGGTTATAAATAGCATGCTTAATTGTTTTTAGCCATGTAATTATTAAGTTACTCTGTAGATTAATATAATATGTCTAATAATTTTTGATTTACTTTTAATTCGAAGACGCTGGCGCCACATAAAGCTACCTCGCCGTACTTATTCTGATAAATCCCGCCTTTTAAAATATGATTTGTAAATCTTGTGAAAGCTGTGAAACGGCGGGTATCTTCTTAACCCCGTTCCGGATTCGTGCTACTTTCCCCAGGTGCAGCGGTCGTACTGAGTCACACGCTGATCACACACGTTATATAACGTCGGCTTTAACCTATAGTTATGTTTTAGCGTAACAAGTGACTGAAAATGATGAATGCTTCTGAGTAGAATCTTCTTCTAGACTGAACATTACGTTCCTTTTTAATGGCATCACTTTTATCATTCTAGAATTTCTACAAATCATCAAAGCTTGAATCCGACTTCGACCTGGACATTTTCTCCACGGATTTATACCAAAACCTCGAAGAACTGGACCCGTCACTGTTCATAGATGATCAGCATTCGTGGTCTCTGGATGATGAGGACGAATTGTCAAGCCTTGCTGTGCAATTAAGAAACACTTTACTTCTGCAAAAGCAGAGGAAACGGCTTAAACGTCCCCCGGAAGGGTATCTATGTCACTTGTGTTTCTGCAAGGGGCATTATATCAAAGATTGCCCTCAGGTTGGTCCAATGTTGAATGATTTTCTCATGCTTTACGTTTTTGTTTTAAAAAATCTTTTTTCCAAGGCACTTTTATCTCTAAAATGCCAGCATAAGTTACACGTAAATCGGCAATTCCAAAACATAGGTGAACTGTTACGGTTTACTCATGTTAGCTTCCGTTTCCGGATTAAGTCTGAGTCGCTAAATCTCTCTTTTAAAAAGCTTTTGCCCAAAGATTCTTTCGCCTGCTAATCGCGCTATAAATAGTTGAATGGAATTCCAAAAAATTGTCACGTCACGTAAATTTGACAGTTAAACACTAGGCAAGCTAAGCGAAGAAGTGTGTTAGACTTGTGGCTATTGTACCGACTGACAAATGGGCGAACGCTACCCCCATGCAACTGACATCGATTACCGATTCGTAGCGAGAGCACTCTCGCGATCAAACCTTCGGGCGTTACCTATTAGACAGATTTTTGTTTTTCTTGACACCAGGAAAATATCCTCCTTAAACAACTACTCTTTCCCCATGTAATCTATTGCTTTGCTTGTAACATTGGCCCGTACCCGTTATAAAACCATGTGATTTCCTAACATTAAAAAGAGGCCGGAGGGAGTAGAGTATGTCTCAAGTCCTCTCAAGTCTAAAATGCTTATCAGTTGCAGAACAATAAGGAAACTGCTCGGTTCAATTTCAATTTGTTTCAACCAATTTTTTCCCCAGTGCAGGCTATAATGCACATTTCTTTTGAACGGGTTATCTTTATTGTGAAATTAACCTGGAGAATACTTCCGTGAGTAAAGTTAGGTTTGTTCTGGCGATTGGAAAATTACGTTGACCTAATCATGCTCTGATTTACTAATTTACCTGCGGCCAGGTGTCTAATTTAAGCCAAAATCCACGTGAAGGTTGTACGTCGTTTGACCTCCTTTTCTAGAAGTTTGCAATTTTTTTAAAACATTCTGGCATTACCGATCAGTTTAAAAGTGCAAAACATCTGTGTCTGCTTTCCAAAAATCGATCATTCATCACTTGTTCACTAGTTGAATAGCTGAGTTTTGTCTTTTTGCTATCCTCTATACTTGGTTACCATACCTTTGCACTAAAACCTCGCAATTTTAAACCTTTCAAACAAAGCTTTCGCACCAGTTACTACTTTTGAAGTTCTTGCAGTCTGTGCCGGCGACTGAGTTAAGCTTGAGCAGCGGACTTTGCCCTTTGAATGCTTTTGATAAGCTGAAATAAATAATAACAGTTCACTTATCGATCGAGGTTGTTGATTGGAGATGTTTAATTCTACCGTCTTTTACTAAAGCTTGGGGATAACTCATTCTAGATAAAAGGGTGTTCTGTGACGTTTAATGTAACCATATCAAAAGCAATCGAGGGCATACTCAATAATTTTAGTCCTACAAGGCACTGTAATCTTGTTTACACTAAATAGACAATATAATAACGACAATGAGTGAAAAAAGGATTATAGAGTTAAAGTGAAAAGGGACGAGGTCTTGAGAAACTTGCAACAGCCATAATATCTGTAAAGATAAGGTTTGAAAATATCCACCCTACCCTGTACTAAGGTTAACGCTGTTGCTGTCTCGCTTGGAGCTTAACAAGGTCTTATTTTTTTTTTCAAACTGGGAAACAGACGTTAAAACAACGCTAGGTTTTGATCTCTTTGAGCAGCTTAGACAGGGCAAAAAATTTATTATTTCCGTTTCATAACCTTGTGTTTTTGAAACTATAATTGTATTTTTGATGTTGTTGTTTTGGAGAGCCGCAGGAGTTCGTAAACTATGTCTCCCCGTTCGTGATAATCTTTTAAGTATTCAATCACGAAGGAAATCTTTTCCCATTTCCCCGCTTGGGTGGTGATCAGAGGAGTTTATCTCAGTATTCACGGTTGGTTGGCAAAGTTATCACTTAAGCCAATGAGCAAATGTCTCTTGCCTACTGGACACTTATTTTAAATTGTCGCGTTAAATGAATCGAATTGGGGAAAACTCACTGATTAGTGTCTCGTAAAACTTACCCTTTACTACTTCTAAACTTGTCTTTAATACTCTTCAGAACAACGATAAAACAATTTTTGGCAAATTTTCTATTACAAAAAAAATTATAAAATTTCTAAACTTAGAAAAATCTATTATAACTCAAATGAATGAAGAAGCAACATGAAATTAGTGCAAGTTTAAAGTCTCTTGGAGAGGAGAGTTCTCGATCAGTTTCGTATACATATTTTTACGAAATAACGTGACCCGTGCCTTATAGTGGAAAAGAAAAATGCCGCATTGTATTCCATTTTCGGCATTTTTTCAAAAAGAAGTCAAAGAATACTCTGAAGTGATGAAATTTCCCAGTTAGGGTTATGAAACAGGAGCAGATGTTCTTGTGTCCACGTTCCTGTATTAATAACATTAAGTATTTTTTATTAAATTACGGTCGGGCTATGTGCCAATAAGACGTAACTTGAAAAAAAAACAACGTTCATGTGTTTTTTTTTCTTCTTAACTTCAGCCTTTTTAACTTATAATTCGTTGTGATCTAAATCCGTCCTGACCGCTCTCTATTACACACTTGCAGTTTACTTTATTTTAGTTAACTATTTCTAACCGATTGATTTTCATTTAAAGTTCTTTCGAAGGACAAATAAATAATGTGTGCCTAGATCATAGAAACAAAAGCCACAAACAACAGACTTATCGGCCACTATCGAATGTAAAACCTTCGTTCTTTACTAACCTACGGTAATAAAAAGAAAGTTTATTGAACTTTTTAAATTGAATTTATAGCTTTTCTGATCACCGGAGGGGGGGGTGGGGGGCCCTCATTAAAGTGACAGGGATGCCCCAGAAAGGATGAGTTAATTCTCTCTGCTCAAGGGTTACGAGAAAAGAAAGGCCGAGAGTATATCTAGTTCTAGGGTATATGAGAAAGAAAAAATCACCCCACGCTTACAGTCTGTGTTATTGTCTCCGGTTGGGGTCAAAGAAAACCTGAGTCATCCCCGTCCCTATCGTGTGGGAGTCACCCTCCAGGTTCTGATCGATCACCAGTCAGCGAAGGCATAAACTTTATTTTGTAAATTATCTGATCAATGTCCCGTCGATTAAAACTAAAACCCTTCGGAAATACAGGTGAAGACAAGCTGACAGCATGAGCCAGTGACCTGTGGGGTCTTGTTCCGTTCAAGCCCACGTTAAGATTTTTATTTTTACCAGTAAGAGCTTAGGTTGTGTCTATTTACATTAATTTAATACCTGAGGTTTTCCTTTCGTGGTGGTCTTACTTGGAAAATCGTAATCTTCATTAAAGATCATCAAAACAACAAGAGCCATGATCACTGATTTCCCTTTTTCGTTGAGGTCTTTGAGTTACCAACGTGATAGATTCTGCCAAATGTTTTCCCTAGAGGCTGACTGATCGGTTTACTTTACGTCGATAAGACCTGTGCCTTCCCAGCTTTTACTGTAAATGTTAATAACGTTGCTAAGAAATTTTATTTTAAAGTGTTTTGATACTTCCTTTGTTTTCATTTCATATTACGTAACAAAAGGCAAATTGGCAAAATGTATTGAATGATTTAATATTATATCAAAATAATATTAAAATGTCGCAAGGTGATAAGACCTAACAGAAAAAGCTAACTAGAAGATTGGTAAAGACGTGACGTACCTATCTCATTTCTAATTCCCTGGAAACAACTTTTGTTATGGACTGAAATTAGGGGTATTTCTACTATTAACAGCAGTATAGGTTTGTGTACGATTGACTTTGTTGTCCAAACTCGGTCAAATTTCAAGATTGTGTTTGCTGCCCTCCCACACTCTGAGAAGTCTATGCATGATCAGTGAGTCCCTCTCTGTAAAGCCCATGGATAGATAAAGAAATAGAGCATTTTCACACAAGTCACTAGCAACTTCCACCGGACTGGTTTAAGAAACGAACAGGGCGACTGTTTTTGTCCTGAACACCAATGTCATAGCGGCGCGACTTTTCATTTTAAATAACCTTAGATTATCTTGGTAATACAGATCACGATCAGTGTCCAGTTCCCAAAGCAGTTAAAAAGAGGAGGTTAAATAATCTGTTTTTGTTCCTAACATCCTCTTCATTTGGAGTGTGTTGTTAGATTGCGGTTTTTCTCATCAACAGATACCTTACTCTTAATTTTTTTTTAGGCCAGACCAAAAGGCGAAGGCCTCACACCATATCAAGGAAAGAAGAGATGCTTTGGAGAATTCAAATGTCCTTTGTGTAAACGCAAGTGGATGAGTGGTAACAGCTGGGCCAACACAGGTCAGCAATGTATCAAGTGCTACATCAACGTGTACCCACACAAGCAGAGACCGCTGGACAAACCTGATGGGCTCGACGTATCGGATCAGACTAAGGAGCATCCACAGGATCTGTGTGAGAAATGCAAGGGGCTTGGGTACTACTGTCGTAGGGCTCAACAGAGTTGAAATAGTCTGATTGCAGTTGTTAAAGTGAGGTGGTTGCTTAAAGCAACGATTTGGAAAAGTTTTCTAACTTGACTCATGCAACGATTGATATAGGACTTTCTACAAGAAAAGGTTGCCAGCTTCTATGAAGGTTATTCTTTGATTATTAGCTACAATGTAGCTGTGCGCTGTAAACATTTTTTGGTCTAATAGTCTCTAAATCATCGTTTGACGATGTTGATCAAATTTTTATCCCAATTCTATCGCTTGTTTTGAAAATATTGTTAAGAAACGTCGACGCGCCCTCATATGGATATCAAATTGCATTGAATTTATATTTTCTATTAATTATTTTAAATTATCAAGGTGTATGTAGGATATTTAGACTTAGATATCAAGGCTTGAGCTTGTCAGTCATTTATGTCGCGATATCCGGCTTAGGAACTCAGTTGTTGTTATATTTTTCTTGTGTAATTATCTGATAGAATACAGCATCATGAAAGGAAATAGTGTGGAAAGCATACAAAATGTAATTATAGTTTTAAACAACACGTTGAGATTTGTCCATAAGGGGTTTAGGAATTAGTATGACCTGAGAGGTGAAATTATTTCTTTCTATTTTTATCTGTTAAAATCAAATGAATGTTAAACAAGTCAGTTATACTTGCCTGAGAATTCGGTTTTACCTCTTGAACTGATACAAGGGAGATTCAAATAAAGGCATTACTAGTTTGCCTGCTGCTTTCTAGAGTCCGGTCCAATCCTTCTGAGCATTTGGGAGAAAAGCGCGGGCGCATTTCCCGAACAGCGGCTGGAAATCCAGCATGCGCATTTGAAAGATTGAATGACTTGTTGCTGGACACCACGAACAGATAAGATCGACGTTTTAAATAACAGTAATTTTTTTTGTGTAATTGAAAAGTAACACATTTGCGCAAAATCGCAGATACAAGAAGTGATAAAGATGTATTCGTTTAATCTTTTTTTATAGCACTGAACGCATTGCTATGATAAACATAAAATTACTTGAAAAGCATATACGCCGAAATGTTTTCCATCGGGAAATAGGCCTAAGTAGCAAGTAGTAAGTGTTTTATGCCCCGTTAAATTAATTATAAGAAATCATTGACCAGCAAAAACCCGGGATGGACTAGATGTAGAGGTTTATTGTATGAGGTTGAATTTTTTTTATGTTATCCAGTAGACCGCTATCATTTTGAGCTAGGTCTCTCTTTGCTCGGTAGTTTAGTTTGTTACAGATTCTAAACGCAAATTAGCATAGTATAAGTCAAAAGTCACGGTGTCACAGCATTTGAAGATGATTCTGGAGATGGACTCGAAAAGGCTGAGGAGACGTTTTCAACAAGTTTACCCGAATGCAATCCATTTGAACTTTCCAGTCCATGCCTCGCGAATGGCTTTCCCGTATTTCTTTCGTGTTTATATTCTTCTGATTTAATAGATAATTTCGATATTTGATCAGTTTTAATACGATTAGCTATTCTTCCAAAATTGCGTGAGATGGCCGTTTTTTAAGCTAGCAGCTAGTTAGAGCGTTTTGCTAAAGGGTTTAATTAAGCAAAAAAGCTTAATATTAGTATGGGAATCCGAAGTTGAATGGTTCCAGGAAATATCAGAGCCAGCAGGCAGCAACACAAAAGTATATAAAGAAACAATCAGAATCCAACCTGACCCGATCTCGCAAGGGATTGGTCGAGAGTACCAATCCCTTAAGATTGGTACAGGTCAGGCTATTTTCCTTAGCCAGTAAGACAAACTTAACGATGAAAACCCCTATTTTTCCTGCCATTCAACGGCGTTCAAACTACGCTAAACTCAATGAACGATATACTTTTTTTGAAGCTTCTTCGAGATGTATAATTATTGTCAAGTAAATGATAGCTAGTAAGCCAGTGGGAGATATTTAGAGCTTTTTTGTTTTTGTCCAAGACGAGCCTTAATCTAGGCTTAAATTAGTTGGAGGAAAACGATTGTCATTGTCGTTAAAGATGTGGGAAAATTAAAGCTTCCACAGATTAAAATGTCTAAATGAATTTGCTTTATTTGTCTCCCTCTCTCCAGACTTTTTTCCCTGGGGGGTGAGGTACTTTCTTATAGAGTGCTAATGGGGATGTGCGCTTGATGGGTCGCATTTTCAATAGAGTTACTAGAATAGGGTCGCACATTTTCGAATTTTTGGGGTAAGAAAGTTCTTCATATAGTCGGTTAGCAAGCGTACCAGAATGTTGGTACTGTAGGTGAATCGTAAGTGTTCTTCATTCAGTTTAAAAATGGGTCAATTCATTTTAGGAGGGCCTATTTAAAGAATTGATAAAGTAGATACATAAATAGAAAGTGACAAAGTTGGGATCGCGAAAATTACATTTGCCCAACAGTGACTAAGATGGGGTCTATAATTGGCAAAAAATAGACTATAATAGGGTAGGGACTCCGGAGAGGCCAGCGGCATATACCCATCAAAAATTAATCCAAGTACTCCCGGACTCTTTTTCTAATGTGATTAGGCCTTCTCTCCCTTAAAACAAGGCAATAATTGTAACATATCTGTTGGAAATCAATCCTTCGTTCGTCTATCCATCTAAATTGGCAATAATTTCTTAGATTATCTTTCATTCTCTTTTAAGCGCAAAACTTGTACACTGCGATGAAGGTGTGCAGGCTTAGGAGAAAAGATAGACAATTGAATTGTTACAGTCATTCGCCGTTTTTGTGTTCGGGAATGACGAATAATCTGCCTAGACGGATACTGCTTCCATCATGTTATGCGTCTAGAGCCTTTTCAAATGACGTCATGTTCTCTATGTTGGTGTCCAAAACCAGTCCTGTGATTTAATTTGATCTTATGTAAATGCATTCTTTTGTCGCAATAAATTTGCATAGCTGTTGGCCACATGAGTGACAACACTTTGTAGACGCCCGCTGGAACAATAAGACGAACTACGAGGGAGATGAACGCTGCGAGATACTACGCGCGACGAAATAAAATAGCCTGGGACGTGTTTTGCTTTTCCCCCACTACTTTGGAGCTCGGTCCCAGGCTAAAATAAAAAGGAATAGGACCAGGGTGTTTTTGGCGCCATTCTGTTTTGTTTGGCGTATAACCGCTGGCGTTTTCATAACACAGTTTTGATTTTTAATGTTCTTCATCTGTTTCTCGCATTTTGCGTCCAGACGAACTTCCTTCCGTAATGCGGATATTTCGCATAATTCGTCTTGTGCTTGTGTTTATACTAGAGTGGAATCATAACGAGAAGAACTATCAACGAACGAACCACAAATGCTTGCCCGAGTTTGTCCAGGCGCATTCTCGACCCCAGTGCTTACGGGTTTGGAATGCGCTCTTGATCTTTCTCCTCTACATACGCAGAAGAGCTCTGGGTCGAGATTGGTCCAGACGGAAGTTGAATAACATTCTGCTCATGCGTAAATGAAAGCACGCTTTTCTCCTTCTCGCGATCGCTATTACGTGATATTGGCAGATCGCTTCGCTTCCCGAACATATTCATTAAAAACACAAACTCGGTGATCGAATGATAACACAATTATTGATAGTGATTGTCAGTGTCTGGCAGATCAAGATATTTTGCTCAACCTCAGTCGTCCAATGATTGTTAAGTATCCTTCGCAATGCATCTTGAATGACTCACTATGAGAGGCAGATCAATATTCGGCAATTATTCGCAAATTTAAACGTAGAAGAACATTTGAATGTGTCGATCGGCAGTTTTTAACAAAACTGACTATCGATAATGATAATAGGGAGCTTTAGCAACGAAGAGGGGGACGGCAACAAGAGCTTCCAAAACGGCAATAGGCTTGTCACGAAAAACAAAAACTTTGCACGTGCATCACTCTTTTTCTGTACATTTTTTTACCGTCACTGCACGACTAGGACGTGAAAATGTCTAATTTCACGTTGTATGGAGGACGTAAGCAAGCGACGAAAGTTTTCTCTTTCTAAACTTGAGTGAGGTCTCCAAGAAATCAACCCCTGGAAATCACTTACAGTTGAAATTTTCAGCAAATGGGAATTTACGTAACAAAGTTTGAATAAACACAGCCCCGTCGATCGATGCAAAAAAGTTCACCACTGCACCATCAACAACAATGGCGGATTCTTAAATTTTTGATAGCGCGGGGGAGAGGGGCGGCGGGGGCTGGGGTGGGTTCACCTTCTGCACTGTCTAATTCTTATCGCCACGTTTTCGCCATTAGACATTACCTGCTAGACTAACTTCATGTATCCAATTTGTAGATTCTTACTCCACCGCCAGGATGTCTGTAAGTATACATAAAATTCTCGCAATGGACATGGCTTTGTTGAGGAGTTCATCAATTTCAGTTCAACAAGTCTGCTGTGATTAAATAGGGTATTAAACTATTTTCTGAAAAGGATTTAGTTTTTGAACAGTTAATACTTTGAAAACAACAGCAACAAAAACAAACAAACAGGCAAACGCGAATAGACATTTGCACTATGGCGTCATTTTACTACTACGACCAGAATCCTTTCCGTTTTTCTTTCATATTTTGATTTGATAATCCCAGTGAGGTTTAGATAACAAAAATCCTAATTTCCACAAGAAAGCAAAACTCTGAAGGATTCTGGTAGTAGTAGCAAAATGACGTCGACGTGCAAACGGCCTTTTAAGGGAGGGTGACAGTGACATTTCCAAGAGCTCAGATAAACAAACCTCTGTGACCCCCAAAACGTTTAACTAATTGGAGTCACTTTGAAGATCGAATTGGAATTTGCAATGTTAGCTTTTGAGCCGAGAAAAGGAAGTACCAGGAGAAAAGTCTCTCGGAGCAGAGAAAGAGAGAAGGCAAACTACAACACTAGTACTCAACCCATATCAGGCCTCGAAGCCAGGACTCGAACCCAGGCCATATTGGTGGGAAGTGAATGCTCTCACTCCGCGCTGCCATCTCTGCTGATTTTTAACTTAAAAGATGTTTCATTTGTTGCAATGGATGTATTTTGGGAGATCCGGACACACCATGGATCCACCAAGGTCAATAAGCCTCCTCCGGCTCCGTAAGCGGCGTCACATGAGAGAAATCAACTAACTTATATCACGGCCCCGGTTAAATCTCACCGTCTACCTTTTTACTATGGTGAAAATAATAATACTGATGATAATCTTTTATGAGGAAGCTTTTGATCGAAATGACTGGTCCAGCCATTGTCCGGCCGGCCAATTCTGACTTTTGGAAAGCGCCCTTAATTTTATAATGGCCATTTTAGAGATAGTTTTTGGCCGAAAAAACTGTTTGACGGAAGAGGTCTGTTTGGCAGTAAGATAAAAGAAAGGATTAACTCGAAAATCTGCCAAGAACGACCCCCCCCCCCCCACCAAAAAAAAAAAAATTCGATATTTTTTTACGCGACTTGTACTATCATGATTCGTGACCTTCGTACTATCTGAGAGACTAGCAAAGTTACACGCCGAAAATAAAATCTACGTTGTTCTAGGTTAAGCCACTCTTGAAGTGGCAAGGACACCAGTAGCTGACGAATAAAGTTGCCCGTATCCAGTGGTTTTTGCGATCTTGTTCTACAACTTTGTGGTGAGTTGTTCCCCTGATCGCCTCAAACACTGAGATAAAAAACTGATACAGTAATAGCCCGCGTATAAGAACCTGGGTTTTAAGAACCTGTTAGGCTAAAATTTTCATTTTAAGCCCCCCTCCACATAAGAACCTATTTAGGCTAAAATTTTAAGTTAGGTTCTTATCAGTGGGGTTGCTATAAAAGTGTATAGGTAGAAACTGCTGAATTAAGATCATCATCTAGGACATATGCTGTATTATAAAATAACTGAGATAGTACGCGTGATCTGATTGGTCAAAAACCTATGGTTTATTATACCGGTAAACCCATAGAAAAAGGCATCCGGACCACGAGCCATAAACAAAACCGTATTGATCTGCAAACAACGATTTTAGAACGGCTAAAAAACAGAACAAGTTACTTACCCAGCCCTTCTTAATATTAAAAGCGTTGGTTTCCACATTTTATTACTGAGCCTCACAATTCGCTACTGCCATAGCTTTAGAACTTATAAAGTACAAAGCTGGAAAACAGTTTACATTTCACGACGATGCCAATCGCAGAGAAAGACAACAACTGTGTGAATTTCTGGTGTAGAGAGTCTCTAGGAAAACTTAACCATGTGCCAACCAGCAACAAAACGGATAGTTTTAGCATTCTTGATTTATGTTATGTCAAAATTAAATTCCTTAATGAAAGAAATTGTTCCAAAAAGAGATCTCTGATCAAGATATGGTACAAAATCGCCCGCTGTAGGTTCAGTAAACAAACTGCCAACGATGATGAAAGATGTCAGAGTTTCGGGCTGGTTTTTTCCAACATTTGCACAAATTATTCGGTGATATCGATGCCATAACCTACCTCAAACCACCTGACTTCACGAATCTACAAATATTAACGCCAATATGTGGCTACGGCAAAGAAACCTTTGACCACTGACATATTTCCATCGGTCGCTGTACGTGCATATAAAGTTACAAGCGACAACTTCGCAAATGCAGCCACGTCGTTACCGCAGCATTTCTTGATCATTATAAAGTCCAGAAAACAGATCTTAAACCACTGAGGCTTGTAAAAAGTGAATGAAGTCCTCCATTACAATAGCTGTCAGTTCCGTCTGTAACAATGAAATTCTTACGGATCGACTCAACAAAATACAGCTGCGTACAGTCTGATGTCCAATTAATTTCTACTTCTGTAGTAAACAAACCATGAACTTATTCTTTCATTCTACGTTCGCATGAATTTGTGTTGACTTTTCCTGTCAAACAGCTTTCATAAGTTATCATGTAATGAGTGCAAAAACTCGTGTTTTGAAGTGCTGCTGTTTGTTGTTTGACTGAACTGAGTTTTCTGAGTTTTGAGAAAGGTCAACGCTATTAAATCGAGAGTTATGATTGGCTTATGATGACTTTAGAGAGAAGACGTGACTTGATCACGGTACTAAAACCATATTTTTTACCTAAAAGACTCCATTCTACTAGAAGTTATTTTATAAAAGCAATAGACCACACTTTCTATGGGTTTACCGGCGTGATAACCCACTTGGGATGTTGTGAGAACACTCGAAAAGCTTGTAAATCACTCGCCTTCGGCTCGTGATTTACAAGCTTTTCTCGTGTTCTCCCAACATCCCGCGTGGGTTATCACGCCGGTAAACCCATAGAAAGTGTGGTCTATTGCTTAACTATACCTGCACTGAACTGCCTATGTAGGCATTGCTCAATGGTACAAATAAATGATTTATACTGTATTGTCAGATGATGTTTATAATATATATGGTATATTCAGATGAAATTCATATGAAAATATAAGAACCTATTTTAAGAACCTCGGTAGCCTAAATTTGCTTCAAGTACCATTTATATAAGAACCTATTTAGGCTAAATTGAAAAATTCAGGTTCTTATACGCGGGCTATTACTGTACTACAAATGAAGGCTTCGTATTTACGCTATCTAACGTACAATCAGAATAGACAGAGACGGTGAGAAAATATTTTGTAATTTTCTTTTGCTCCCTAGATTTCAATGGTCTTTGTAAGGTTCGGTTGGTTGGTACGCTTTTAGCCGACATTGCTAAGTTATAGGGATCTGCATTTAACTTGCCCTCCCGGATGATGTGTGTTTTTTATCAGAAACCGGTAGAGAACTGTGGTAGTCAGCGTACGCTGATACCTCGGAGTGTTCAACAACAGCAGGTGGCTCATTGATATAACTGTCTCGAGGTGGTTCCTTGTGGAACACCGAATTTCAGATAGTTCATTCTCTCGAAGACAAGACTAGACAAAAAACTTAATTAACAATAGTGAATACATTATTACCGGTTACTCGGTAGTTTTCATAATGGCCCTCTACAAATAAACACAATAGCTACTGTAAGTAATTAGAAAAAAACAATCAGCAAAAAAAAAAAACGCTAAAACAAAAATAAAAAATTGGCTATTTCCGAATAATGTGGCACGAAGAAAACCACTCCAAAGACTCCAACTGATGACAATTTGGACGTCAAAATCTCTTGATACCTTCGGAAGATAAAAAAAACGGCACCACATACCGTAAAATTCCGAAAATAAGCCCCTCCATGTATAAGCCCCTCCAAATATAAGCCCCCCAAGCCGGTAACGCAAAAAACCCTCCGTTAAATCGCCCCTCCAAATATAAGCCCCCAGGGGCTTGTACTTGGAAAATTGCCCTCAAATACAAGGTAAAACAAAGCAAAAACGGTAAATTTACTTCCAAGTATAAGACTAGCCCAATCGATTTTGAAACGCAAATTTCCCTCCGTAGCCCCTCCGAATATAAGCCCCTCCAAAAATAAGCCCCTCAAAAAGGGCCTTTGAAAAACATAAGCCCCGGGGCTTATTTTCGGAATTTTACGGTACTTATGTTTCTTTTTTCCATGTTTAACGATACACCTCTTTAGCTTGTATGTTTTGTTTTCCCAATAGAAGCCCCAGGGGGACTTGCCCCTTTGTCTTTTTTCACATTATGCTTAGTTATGCAGGTGAATAAGACGGAACCAGGACGGAACACATGACCCGTATTGGCGGAAAAACAAAACAACAAGCTAAAGAGGTCTATTAGGTTTAAAAGTGGCCGTAGGAGAACTGGGTACGAGATTAGTAACTGAGAGGGTGGCGAGCAGTACCAAGCCTTACAATCGTGGGTGTCGCAAACTAAGGTCTGAGGAAGACCAAACGGAGGGGGGGGGGGGGGATGGGGGTCCGCCCGAAAGGGGTATTTTTTTCAGCTTTTAGTGGTTTAGTGATTTATTGATATTTAAAAGACGGTGCATTTACAGCACTTACAAGGGATACAGCGGTCTATGTCAATAATGGGTCTACAAAAGAAGTGCTTTTTCTGTCAAAAATAGTATATAAAAGAGTAAGGGGTTGGACCTCGGGGTGGAGCCTTCCCATTTAAAATTTTGCAAAGTACCTCCCCCCCCCCGGGCCAGGCTGCTTAGTATCACGTTGATGATGGTGATAGTGACGTAGGTGACTTAGCTGTACACACGAGTCCTATGGCCCTGACCGTATGGCGAATATGCTTTATTTCGTCAAAATGAACGCTATTAATTATAAACTTAGTAATGAAGATGTGCTAAGCTAGCGTACTGCGCTTTTTTATCGTCTCCTTGAAAAGATGCTACCACGAGTACCTTTGAAGGTTTTTCTTCACTTTTTATTGAAGTTTAAACCTTTTGATGAGTTTTTCCCTTCCAAAATGTGATTGCAAATCTCTCTCTGTGTGTAGCTGCGTGTGAAGCTTTTTGCTGTCACGCAACACTTTTTCTTGGCGTTGTATTTTCAGATTTCAAGGAGGAGCGTTGCGTGACGTAACAGAGTAATATATTTATAGTTTATGTATCGGTCAAATCGAAGCTTCAACATGCCCCCCCGGGCATACCCCGGGCATTTGACACCTTTGCCGTCCCGGGGATGAGGGAATTTGATTATCAGAGTCTTCCAGGGGGTGGGGAATTTGATCCCCATGCTTTAGGGGTGGGGAATTTGAACTGCACCCTCGATTTCATGTGGGGACGCGGTGTCAGAGGATTTTCGTGGAAAAGATTGTGCCTTTGTGGCCAATTGGTTAAGAGGAAAGGGTTTAAACAAGCTTTGTGGCGTATCTGAAGTATTTAAATTTTAAAATTTTTAATATTGGATTCAGGCTTTGAATGTATGAATGTATTTTATTGTTGTGTTTACAATGAAATACAATACCTATACCGGCGATTCAATACATCAACATAAAATAAAATAAAAAGCTCAGGTGAACTACTTTGACCTACTGCAAGTATGTTAATTAATAAGGTGAGCGATGATGCATGTCAGTGAAATGGTCATGATGTAGTAATCTCAATAGGTGGGATCTTTTTTATAGAACGCTTTGTATGTTGCATGACGAAGAAAAGCTGAGCATTCAGTGACCTTGTAGAAGCGATTTCCGCCGCTTTGCACGAGACTTTTGTTCGTAGTAAATACGCTAACAGTGTTGCTCAGTTTTTGTTATATTTATAAAGATTTTGTTCGACAATTGAAGGCGTTTCCTCCGTCCTTCTGTCATTTTTGTGCCTGTGAAATGTCCCCGGGGTGGGGGCATTTGATCACCTGAATGGACCCCAGTGTGGGGCATTTGAACGGCATTTTGGCCCGGGTAGGGGGGAATTTGAACAAAAATTTTCGAAAAAGTCAAATGCCCGGGGGGTTGCCCGGGGGGAGGCATGTTGAAGCTTCGATTTGACCGATACATTATATGATGAGAAACCGTCGAGGAAAGTAAAACGCATTTAAAGGATGTAGGGGGAAAAAAATGACAACTGACAAATATCCATACATTTTTAGTGGCAACAAGAACGATCTTAGTTTGCATGATTACTTTTTCTTTAAGATAGATGATGGCTCATTCCTTCTTGATAAAGTATAAAAATTGATTACTTTTTATTGCTTTTTATACCTACCTTTTCCGACACTGTTTCAATTGATGTTGTTCATAGCCTCCGAAAAGTGTCTGGAGAGTTCCTACTGACTGTGGAAAAGCCAGCGTATCAAAGGTCCAGCATGAGTAAAGCAAAAAAAAAAAGAGGGAGAGCAGCAAAAACGAAAAAAAAAGAGAAGAGAGGAAGGTTGGATGGGACTTTCGCTTCAAATTTCCTGCACTAGAATGCGCTTTATGCGAAGATACCTATTAGCATTGCCAAATATAGTATGGCCAAGACGCTCTCTATCAAAACATAGAAAAGACAACAGATGTCATATTGTTTTCCTGTTATGTTGGGTAGGACCCACCACTACCGACCACCACCGGGTATTTCAGCTGACGAAACCTTCCTTGCGTCGGTTCTCGAATTTCCTGATCATGTGACGTATGCAGTAATTCCCCTATGTTATTCCCTTTATTGGCTTCCTATGACAGTTATGCCGCATTTCTGGAATGCGAAATTCGTGTGCGTGACTGTACAATTGCAAAAATCTTTTATTACGGCACAGTTTTCGCATTCATGCTAAGTGGGTGTGACCAAAACCAATCAAATACCATTACAGTCGAACTATTGTGTTTTGACCAATTAGGAAGTCGCTCCACCCGCTGCTCGCTTTCCGTGGGCCTCTGAGCTCTTAAGATGTTTGCAGTAAGTTGTATGGAGAATTGTAGACGAAATATTCACGCCTGTTGCTGAATATTGAGAAATGGCCGGTGGCGTGTACACGGCTTCACTCAGAGGAGGTGGGCCGTGGGGTTTTCGACTTCAAGGTGGAAAAGATTTCGGCAGTCCGCTTGCCATTTCCAAGGTAAAGACATCGACATTGCTTGTGCCCTGTGTGGGTTTCGCCAAGTCGCTTCGTGGGTTAGTTTGTTCTGCTCGTAGTTAGTGGCCTTTAATTGAGACTTTCTTTTGAAGGTTACACCAGGATCTAAAGCTGATGTCGCAGGTATACAGTCAGGGGATTATATAGTCGAAATAAATGGAGCATCTTCGGATAATATGACTCATTTTGACGCTCAGGATGCCGTGAGAAGGGCTGGGCAGAATCTAGACATTCTTCTGGACAAGTAAGTTGTGTTAAGTTGTAGATCTGCTACAAAACTATAAAGTAAAAATTTATATTTATAATCAAAGTAACCTCGCTGTACAAATTTTTCTCCCTGTATTGACCAGCTGGCGGTTTTTGACAACTTTTGCGGGTGAAATGAGCAGTCAATATTCTTGGCTTGTTCAGCATTCAATTTGTTACATCTTTCACACCAGGGGACAATTAAACTTCTAGTATTTGCACAAAGTTGACGTGTGTAAGGAGCTTTTTTTACGGCGGATCTTTTTTACCCTTCTAATGTCGACAAGAGCAGCGTTCGTCAACAGAATGTTTTTTGTGCTTGTGAAGGACTCGCGCTTCCTTATCGAAACCTTTGGGTGTATTTTGAAATGTAATTCGATCGTAATGCGCTTACTCGAGATCTACGAAGCTAAGCTGTGATGTTGACTTTGAATTTTAAGGGTGATGTTTGTAAAATGGGCAGCTTTGTTCCATCAATACACCGTGTTTTTGAGATTTTGTTAAACTAAGTTGCTAAACTATTGTTTTCACAAGTTTCGTTTTCTTTAAGCTTTCCTCGCTCGAAACTATCATGGTTTAACATGCTAAATGTGAACAAATGGCCCATCCGACTCTGAAGCAAGCGCGAACAGTGTTTACAAGTAAACTTTAAACATCAGCTTTCTCGGTCAGTTATTCTAAAAAGCATCAGTAATATCTAACTAGTTAAGTATGGCACTTGGACGTTCGTTCTCTGTTAAGATGACAAAACTGTAGATTTTAAAGGGATCCGATTAAATTAGATGAAGCTTTTGTTGGAGTGTGCTACAATTGCAAGGGTCAGTGAGCTCATTAATTAGGACCAAAAATTTAAAAGTATGTTTTTATCTCACAACATCTTTATTATCACTCATATCTAGAGTTTGTCACTGTATTTCCATGTTTAGTGTCTCGTGTCAAAAAAGTGTTATTTTTAAAAAGAGTAATATTTTGAAAAGACAGTCATCCAAAAGTAGTCTTGAGTTGTTTAGCACAAAACGTGCATTTGCAAAGTAGAAATTTTAGATCTTTCTCCATGGGATTGGGTTAGTGAAAAAGTTTGTTGTAATTTTTTCCCAAAGGACAGCAGTTCAAAAAGTGTCATTTGTGGTACAATGTATCGTTTGAGAAGTAAAATTGGAATTGAGATATTCTCACAAAAATATTTCCCATATGCTACATACAAAGATTTGAAGCAGGGCCCAGTTGTTCGAAGGCCGATTAGCGCTTAACCCGGGGTTAAATTTAATCCGGGTTTCTCGTTCTTGTGTTCAAAAGCATTTTCGCGGATAATTTTTTCTGTTATATTTAGAGCTTTCAATCATCAACTTGTAGACAAAGAGAATTAAAACTGAAATTCTTTTTAAGCTTTCAAATCTGAATTCAAATCTGGCACTAACCCTGGGTTATCTTAACCTGGCTTTGAACAACTTGGCCCAGGGAAAGTATTGCCTTCATCTTTTCCACACCTTATTTACTGCTTTCTGCCAATCTCCTGGGTCCTCTTTGAGAAGAGGTGGAGCTAGCTGGACGTGTGAGTGGCTGATCGTGTCTGGTTTGTAAATTCAATATTATTTTAATTTACACACTGTTATGAAAAATTGAAATGGAAAATGTCATCAGACACTGAACACATTGTCATTTTTGCCTCTTTGTCGCTTTGGCCTTCACTAACAAACTCAGCAGCAATGACTACTGATTTAAGGGTTTTTCATTAATCTTTTCTTAGCAAAATTAAGGGGGAAATTACAACAGAAATGGATTCCCAAGTTATCTCTTTCATGACGGCTGTTAACAACCATCAGTTCAGAGTGGAAAATAATTATTGATGATGCAGACCTGGTTGGTTTAGCGTGTGAATACAGCTGTCTCTCCTCGCTTTTCACCCCTAAGGACGTTTCCCAGGAATGAAGTCTGTTCCTCAGTGACAGAAATTCCATACTGATGATTTAAAATCTGTCCAGAATGTAGTCAGGGGCTCTGATTGGTTCACAAAGTAGTTTTATTGTTTAAGCTATTGTTTACGAATGACAGGCAAAAGACAGAAGGTCACACAGGTCAAATGTAAACACAATGAATCAACTACAAAACAGTCAATATCTGTGTAACATATTCTTCTTTAGAAGGAGCATTCGGGTTTTGTCAGAGCTCGTTTGCAGAAGAACACAAAAACTTTGCTATAGTTTGACCAGAGGAAACATAGAGTCGAACAAATTTACATTTGGAACCCCATGAATATCGGTTTAATTATGTAAACATTGGTTTACGTCATCAGTATGTAATTTCTGCCGCTGAGGAGCAGGTATCTTTCCTGCGAAAAATCCCTGGTGGTGAGGAGATGGCTGTATTTGAAGGCGTACAAAAACATCCTCACAATAAGCCGTCTATATATATATTTACATTCATATATACTTCAGGTCATTTCACTCCTCACGGGAGATATGAACTCAATAAATTGACCTCGCTCCCAATGTGTGGCTTCATAGCTCAGTTGGTAGAGCAACGCACTGGCAACGCGGAGGTCACGGGTTCGAATCCCGTTGAAGCCCTGATTTTTTTTTGAGGCTTCTTCTTTCCAATTGCTTAAATTGGAAAATTTACTGCAATGATCATTCTTCACTTTCAATAAGCCATATCCTCTTAAAAATGCTCCAAACTCATCCCACGCCACATCATTATCACCTATGGCTCCACAGTAATGCAGGGTGCAAAGAAAGTCAGTTTTACAGCTTAGGCAAGCTGTAGCTTGCATGTACTAGCCCAAAAATAATTTCACCTACCCACAAATAGCTTTCAATTGATGAGCAGGATTGATTACAGTTCTTCTGTAATTTGAAATCCCCAAAAACCATCACTTGCCTGTCGGCAAGTTAGGTAAAGAACAGAATTCACTAGCCTGATGGCAAAATCCACCAGCTGCTAGCTATCAGACACTACTTTCTTTGCAGGCTGATCTGCCGTTTGAAATGCTCTTTCTGTAACTGTATCAGCTGATACATTAAACTAGAACTAATGCATAAAAAGTGTACGAATTATTGTGATATAAAGATGTATTGTTTACAGTCAAGACAGGTTAAACATGCCACCAAAGATTCTATTAATGAATTGATTATTTCAAAAATGAATCCGTTAGTCATTCCCGTAACTAGTGTCAAATTCAAATCAGCATTCCTGCATGCGTAATGAGCAGTGAATATTTTACGAGAACTTCTCTGTATTTGGTCAGATTGAAAATCTTTGAATGAGTATAATTTTTTCACAGACATTTACATTAAATTCTGGGAAACTGAGCTAGTAGAAATTTCATAACTGCCTCGCATGTGCAGAGATGCCAACCTCTGGAGACCTAAAATGGGCTAAATCTCAAACTAAGTCTGTTTTATTTTTTACTAAGTATTCAATATTTATAATGGAAGTAAAAAGCCGGAGATTTAGGTACATTAATGGAATCTTGGCGGGTATGCTTGACCTGGCTTGACTGTAAATAGTATTTCTGATTCTCCCCTTCATTTGTATTAGTGCGGGCTGTATTAGAAAATAGTGCAGTTGTTCCTTCCATTAGCGACACGTACCCCTTGTGACAAGGAAATGTGTCCGCCAAGAGAGATGTCTTCTTTACAGAGATTGAAAATGTGGTGATGCTTGTCTGTGGCAAAGACCATGAGCAAGCAGCTTAAGTGAGGGGAGTTGTCCTTGTTTACCGTGGTTTAAAGCAAGGCAAATATACTATGTTACAAGGTGTTACTTCTGAGAAACTTTGAGCACCTCTAACATAAAGTCTAGAGAGGTGCTAAAGAAGTAATCTGCATTACATTTTTTAACTGTATTATTAATCAATCATGCTTTAGCACACCTGTGGTAAAGTTCCTAAGGGCTGCAAAGTTGAGCTGGCAGAATTGTTAGTCTTTTTGAATGAGATGAATTATCTACTATGACAGGCTCTTGAAGAACAATAGTATTATAAAAAGGTTTTTTTAAAAAAGTAAACATTTTTTTTATAGGAAAGATCACACTAAAACAGTTGTGGTAACAGAAACAGTCCATTCGGCAAAGTCTGATCACAAGTTCAATGCCAAGGCTAAGCCATTTGGTGCAGTGTCATCACCTGCTCAGATATCTCAGCCTCAGACTGCTGTAACAGGTCGCACTTCACCTGCTGGAGGTAGTACATGGCAGCCTCCAAGTATTCAACCTCAGCGTGCCTCTGTTGCCCATTCTTCGCCAGCTGGAGCACCACCTCCGCCTGCCCCTCCCCTCCCCTCCCCTGCAGTATCACAGTCCAGGTGAGAAGATTGCATTCAAATTCAGCATTTTTTTAAGTCGGCTATAAAATAATGCTGTTAAGTTAATTATAAGGTAGTCACCAGCTATGGAAATGTTTCTTGTCATAAAAAGGACACCTTGTGTGATATTACATGAAGGGTGTTAAGTAATTAAAATGACTACCCAACTATTGCAATTGAATTTTGAGGTGCATGCAACATTTCAAGGCTTAATACCCAGAAAACTAGGGTGAAAAAGTGAAGTTATAATGAGAATGGATTGTAATAATATTATATAAGTTACACCAGTGAAATACTAGGTGAGCTTTTGGGCAAAACATGATACATGTATCTTCGCACTTGAAAAGATCAAAAGGGTATGACACAAAAATAAATATTTAAAATGTTGCAATAGGCTGTCAGGGAGACTAGTTGATATGTGGATTCAAACAATTTAACATTTGTTAATTATTTAGATAAAAAGCACCAGTAATAGGTATTGCATCTTTTTTCACAACTGGGATGAGTTGAGTAGTCATATTATTTGTTTTTGAGAAATATGGACAACCCGGCACAATTTCTGCACACGTTACGTCTTATCCCTCAAAATTTTCATCAAAAATCCTCCAAAATCCTGCGCAATATTATAATCTTTTTCCTGCACCCTGTCAGAAGTGTTATTTGCAACACTACAGATGCGACTCATTGACGATGTGTGATGGACAGGTTTGTGAGTTTCTGTATGATGGCAGTATTCTCAGAGAGAGTAACGTTCATTCATCCTCTTCTTTCTCAGGGGAGGCTATGATCATCCAGATGCTTCCAAACAAAGACATGTCATTGATGATAATGACATCGCTCAACGGTTTAGACTCAACATAACTGATGATGGTGATGGTAAGCTTGTGATTTGAAATACATTCGACTCCCGATAATTCGAACCCTCGCTGACTCGAACCTCGCACTAACTTGAACCAAAATCAATTTCCCCTGGATTTCCGTCATACATTCACTGTAATTTTACCCTCGGTAACTCGAACACTCGATAACTCGAACTCCTGCTAACTCCAACCAATTTTTTCTCTAGGTCATTTTCTATATAATTTTACCCTCAATAACTCAAACCATGTTTTGAACCCTTAAAAAGTTGGGAAAAAAGCTGTCTACTGGCGTCCAAAACATTGAATTTTGGATTTCCTATTGACGTGTTGTAGGAGTATAGTTTACTAGTGGAGGCTGATGTTGATTGTCACAGGCTAACGTGAAGCAGCTTTCCTTCTCAAAACAGTAAACGCATGCTCTATTTAAGCTATGTTTTGTTATGATATGTTCTGATTTATAATCTAGAAGTATCTTTTAATTTTCACTTGACATTTCTATAATTAAATGTGATTAAAATGTTCACTGTGCAGTAAAAAGTTTTTAACCTTACTCTCGGCTATGTTCTTCGAACTCCCAGTACTCGAACTCCCAATAACTCGAAACTTTTTTTAATTTCCCTTGAAGGTTTGAGTTATCGGGAGTTGACTGTACATAATGATGACAACAGTGCCAATATTGTACAGATCATTTTAATCTCACTGAACATTTTTTTTTCATTAGTGAGTTTCGCTGATGAGCCACCAACATGGGGCCATCCACCAGATCCTAAAGTCCAGTCCAAGTCTTTCAAGAGACTGCAGAGACATCTTCAAGAACATGAAGATGATGGTATGTACATTGTCTGTCACTACCATCTTACCGACAACAAGTTATCTGACTGTAGTGTGATAGTTTTTTGTTACATTGTGTATTTGTGAGCCAATTAGTCGGCTTTCTATTGTGAATGTTATTGAAACTGGTTTAAGAACAAGCAACAATTTCAAAACTTGCTTGTTTACATTCGGAATAATATTATTATTATTACTGTCTTTGTAGATCTTCCTCCACCACCTCCTGAAGCATTTGATCAGCTGGAGGACAGTAATGAGAAGCACAACATGCAGTCACGGAGTTTTAAAGTCCTGCAGGATGCTGTGGAGCATGGAGGTAAATATATAGAGTATTCACAGAAATGAGATACAACTGACTCAAGTCACTGTCTCACTCCACTGTCTAGTGCTCCATTTGCAGTTTTTTATTAACATGGTGCAACTGAGTTGTGTATTTCACAAAAGCTGCCTTTTTTTTTACTTTTAGTTCAGCACAAATGAAAACACCAGATAAAACTAACTTGCATCCCGTGTTAGAGCCTGTTTTTGCAGTGTTTTGTGCAGATTTTTAATTTGTGAACCTTGGTTTTATTAACAACATTCTGATATTGTGAATGAGGCTTTAGACAGTGAAGTTGAATATTGAGGCTTTAGACTGTTAATACTGTTGTTGTCATGTGTTACATGTGAAATCAAGAAGTCAACAGTTATGGTTAGTGTTCTTGTACTTGAATTTTATAACCGTGTATTTTCTCCATTAGAATCTCCTGGCAGTGTTTTTGATAGGCAAAAGGCAGGTCGGAGCAAGCCCTCCTCCCAGGCAATGCCTAAAATGTACCGTCCTTCTCCACCTCAAATTAAACCTGCTGCAAGCATGCCAGTGGCCCCCCCTGCACCAGTTGTAGCCCGACCAGGACAACCTCAGCCTGTTGCTCTACCTGGGATGGTTCAATTTCAACAACCCTCTGGGCCACCACAGCGAAGTCCATCACAGAAATTGCCGTCGACTGCATCTCCAGCGGCAGTATCGCCCACTTCTACTAGCCCACCTAAACAACCAGAGTGGAAGAGGTCACCCACTAAGCCTCCGTCAACACAGCCAGTCGAAGAGACTAGAACCCCTTTCTGTGATGCCTGTGGGGAGGAAGTCTTGTAAGTTGAATACAGTGTGGAACTTTTTTTTGCAGGCTGTTATTTTTTTTAAAAATATATTTCTTGATATATTTTACTATCCACAAGCACCATGAATCCAACAACTCCATGTTCATCACTGTATAGTTTTACATGCATAATGTTATGATGGAAGAAGGTAATTGTTGCACATCATACAGAAAGTGACTCTAACCACACAACAGTCAGGTATAATAATGTTGCAGTGGAATGACACAACTGTAAAAAGTTCTACTTAGTACGGCAGTATTAGGTTATTTTCACATGTTGTTTTGGCAGTAAGAGTTGTCTCTGGAGCTTTCAATTATGGTCCAACTTTATCTTTGGATTTTGTATCCTTTGTTTTTGGGCACAGACAACTCCCTCTGCTGGAGGCTGTTAGGACCATCCCCAACTGTTCTTGTAGATTTGTTCATTGTATAGAGACTTGAGTTACAGTATAAAATCTAAAAAAAGACAGGGATCATGGTGCAAAGAAAATCATTTTTACAGCTTGCCAGTTGGGCAAGCTGATGCTAGCATTTACAAGCCCAAACGTCATTTGAACTAGCCCCCAAATTTTTTGATGAGCAGAATTGATTTCACACTTCTTCTGCAAGTTGAATTCCTCAAAATACTTCACTTGCCTGTCAGGCAAGTTAGGAACAGAATTCACTAGCCAGATAGCAAAATCCATTAGCCCCGGGCTATCGGACACTACTTTCTTTGTACACTGGGGATATGTAAGACCACCTCTAAGTGTCCATCTTAAAAAATGTCTGTGTTATTGAGGTGTCCTTTGAGAAATGACTGTATAGCACTGCGTGATACTGACAAAAATGTAGATTGGGCCACAAGTATAACTGTAATGCTCTTAGGAATTAAGCTTATAAAGCATTTACAGAGATAAAAGGTAATTCTTGCATTTTTTATAAAAAAAAAAATAAAAAAAAAACGAAAAAAATGCACTTTTATTTGAGTATCAACGTATTTAGCATGAAAGTGCTAATTGGGGACACTATTATTTTTTACGTCTCCTAATGGAGACGGGACTGCCATTTTACGTGGTCATCCGAGCCACGCGAAGGTCTCGCCGCTTGCAGTGTAGAGGAAGTACCTTCATTTCTCAGTCATTTTAAGACCCTGAGAATGGTTCGGCCCCGGGAATCGAACCCGCGACCTCCTGCTCTGCAGTCAAACGCTCTACCGGCTGAGCTAATCCTGCCACGGTTGTAAATTAATGAATGAAGAGCTTATTACACTTTCTTATTGTTTTTGTTAGATTTCCTTACAGTCATTCATGTAAATGCCATTGGTATGTCCTTATGGATTTTTTAGTAATGTACGTTTTGTTTCTCATGTTTGAAACAGTGGTCCTTTTGTAAGTGCGATTGGAAAGGCGTGGCACCCAGAACATTTCGTGTGTGATGGATGTGGTGAGTCTCTTCAGAACCAGGGCTTCATAGAGGAGGGTGGAAAATTGTATTGTGAAAAGGATTACAACAAATACTTTGCTCCTCACTGCGATACTTGCAAGCAGCCCATCTCTGGGGTGAGTACAATGGTTTTGTACATCTTTTATGAGGCCTTGAGATTACACTAATGGGTAGGGGTGGTGCGAAAGTTGATTTATGTCAATGATTGTGTGAAAGTAAAATAGACCATCTTGATTTACAACAAGCCCTCACTTACAAATTGAGGGCTAATGTAAAAGCTTCTGTATGAAATTAAGTTTTATGTGCATGGGTATGAAAATATTTTCCTTTATCCTCGGTTTGAATGACTTGGGGCAACTCCATAATGGCTTTATACGTGGTCTCAGAAATGATAATTTGTTGTTTTTTAAACTTACAGTTGTAAAATAGAACTAGTTTATTGTGCAAACCGGTCATAAGTTAGCTTTTGGAGGTGGTGTTTAGTGCACAACAAATTATAAGCAGCTGCGAGAATTACTCCCAACGTTTGCTGGGCAAACAAATCTAAGTCCTCTGGTCCCAAATTCTGTTGATTATTTCCTTCCTTACTTGTCTTTGTCAACCATTTTAAATTTACTGTGGTCTTAGCGATATTCAGTTCATCAAAAAAGCCTTTACACAAGACATGTTAATCACAACATACCACTACAAGTGCCGTCTTTCTAGCTCCTGAGTTTGGCCGAGAACCACTCTTTGAAAGAAGACTGCTGAACGAAGTTTACGGCGGTATGCTACCAAGCACATTATCGGTAAAACGAAGGCAGGAATTTAGGTGTCTAAAAATCTTTGTTAGATGTTCGTTGTACACAGTATGAAATAAAAGTTATGTTAGTTCACTTTTCACTCACCATCTTCCTTGTAACGGGCAACCAGCAGTTTGTGTTGTTTAGATCGAGAACAATCTGAGTTATCCTCCATCAATGTGATAATCGTGGCTGCTCTGATCTGTGTCAGTCTGCCATCTACCAGCACCTTTCCATTATCAAGCGTAATCGATTTTGAGATTCGTCTGAGATTTTGATAATATTTCACGCACATGTCCATTTCAGATTTTGCTTTCTAGCCTTGTTAAAATGTATTCTGTTTGTTGCCTTAATGACTGCACATGGATACGTCACTGTACACTTGCATGAACACGTATTCTCTCTCTCACACACACACTTTTTATTGTTTTACATATTTTCACATTATATAATGTAAATAAAAATAATTTGTAGATGACCACACTTGCGGGTTATGGAGACTTTTCCTGTCTTAGTTGTCAAAAGGTTTTTGACACCATTTTGAAGTTTGAATCGAATGTGAATAATATCCATTCACAAGGAATATGCTAAACGTAGTCCTGAATAGGACTGTTGATTGGTGTCGGTTTGACTTTGTTCAGTGACAAGTGACGTTTCTTTATTGACAACCTGTGCGGTAGTATCATCTTCAGTAAAGTTCGTTTTTTCCGTTTCTAGCATGGCTTGCGTTGACTTCGCTTTTTGATGTGTTATTTTCTAACTCAATAATTAAAAATGAGATAACTAAGGAAATTACTTCTTCAAAGAAAGTTTGTAAATCGAATCCTTGGTAGCACAGTATTTGCCAAACGTAACCTTTGAATTTGATAAAAAAGCGTATCAAGAATTGTGAGAGTGTTTCATCCGCAGTCCTGATACCTCAACTCAAAATTGTTTAAAAAAAAAAAAAAAAAAAAACCTCGGTGCGCCTCTGTTTTTTTTCAACCTGGGTCTCGGTGTTTGGATATTTGATGAAACACTCCTCATCGTGTGTATATATATATTACCTGTACTTAGCAGTTTCTGGTAGGTGGAGAGAAATTGCCCTGAACTGTACCTTTTTTCAGTAGTTGGTAATACTTTTGTTTAGGTGCCTTCCGGCCTTTGTTGATTAAGCATTGGCGGTAAACCAACGTTGTTCTTACTAATCTTTTGTGTATTTTTTTAAAAAGTAAATGAACATTGTGGCAGTATAATTATAAGTATTGTGAAGAAAGCAATTTAACTTGTACTGTATTGTAAAGTGCTGATGATAGTAGTCCATCTGATATTTAGCATTAATTCTGTTGTGTATCCTTTGGATTTACGGTCGTGAACTTGGTGCTGGCATCTGGATATTTTTCAATGCCGCGCTAGTGGTGTGACAACGAGGGAAAAAAATCGTTTCTTTCTTGGAAGAACAAGACATCTATTATGTTTTTACGTCTAAGTCTGTTAGTAGTAGAGTTTGTGTGTTGATGGCTGCACAGGTTGCCATTCGAACTTTCTGAAATGGAATCTCCACTTTCTTTGACAACAGCAGACAAAAATCTTCACGGTTCAGTGGAGATCCCAGATGTTCTGTTTCTGTTTTGTCTTTCTTTTCATTGGCATGGTTATAATTGTGTACTTGAACATGGAATTTATGGCAATTTCAGAAATTGTTTCCAGAGCAAAGGATAATTTGTAACCGGAAAAGCGCAGTTTGGGACTAGAAATAAGACAAGTGGAAAATACGGCTGCAGTTGAAGATCTTGAAGCCACAGAAGGACTGCTATAAAGGTTTAAAGTGGAGCCATGTCAGAGCACAAAATTCAAGCATAGCACCAACACCGTATTTATGAGCAAATAACAAAATACACTCACCAGCACTGCACCAGAAAACTCTGCTCTTGTTATAGTACAGATGAAGTTAATGGGAACAGTCGCTTGTTGGATTTCTTCGTCTCTCTCTCTTGGCTTCAAGCCTTGAGTACTGAGTTTAATTCGATTCTTGACCTTTCTTCTGGTTTTTTTTGTTCTCTGATTTTCACTGATTTTCCCTGTGAAATTGCAGAGAAAGTGGGATATAATTGTGGAAGTCCTTAACGAATAAGATGAAGTCGCTGCCAAGACTGTGTCTTCTCAAATCGCGGCAACTTAGTATGGTATCTATTAACCGAGGAACATGTGGCGCCTAAGGGTGGTGATGAAGTACTCTTGTTGTTTTGCTTCTTGCTAACAATTCCTTGCTCTTAAATGCACTAAGTCTTATAAAATTGTGGGAAATAAATGTATAACTGGTTATTAATTAGATCAATAATTACTAAGAGCACTTAATGATAATACTTAATACTGCACTGCACTGCACTGCACTGCACCTGACACTAGCACATCACTGCACTGTATACAAAACTCTCCTTCTTGATTTCCAGTTCTAATTCTTTCAGGGATTGCTCGGCCAGACTTTGGAGCGAACACTTGATTGGTTAATCTCTCTGTTACCTTGGTAACCGTTAAATGAGGTGATGGCATGTGTGTATTTTGTACATTTTCAGCCCAAGAGCCTGCACGCATGTCCGCCAGCGGTGCCTCCGCCTTCAAGTGCCATGCTGAAGGCCATACGCGAGTCGTCGATGAAAGGAAAGAACGCTGAAGAAGCTGCAGCGAAAACCAAGACTCGTCCACTGAATAATGCCCTGACTTTGAAGAAAGAAGCACAGGGTAACCACCCAAACTTGCCAAATAACGTGCATTCTAGTTACATGACTCCTTTGTATGGGGTCAATTACCCTCAAAGAGCAGTTGAGAATGACATCAACAGTAACTGGGCTCAGGCAAGTAGTATTAGTAATATCACCAACATTGGAGCAGCATTAGAACAGCATGGGGAACCCGGCATGGGCTCTTTAAAGGATAAGGTTGTCGCCTTGAAGGAAGCTTTACGAGTGGCGACTGAACGTCAAGCCAAAGCCAAAGAAGGAATTCCAGCTGCTCGCAAGCGCTTTCAAGAAGCGAAGATTCTGCTATCGAAGATGGAGCGAAAGAGGTTTATTGCTGAAGACAAGGTTGAAAAGCTTGAAGAAAAAATCCATCATCAAGAGGGAAGGCTACAGAACAAGTATAGAACAATGTCAGAGAACTGGCATGTAAACCATCAATTTAAACAAAAGAAATCGGAAGAATTGAGAAATTGGAAGAATATAGAGTATGAAATAACCGAACTGAAAGCAGCGCGTGAGGCGTCCATGGAGCGGGTGCGAGAAGCTTCACGAAGATTGGTTATCGTTCAGTCGGCAATTCAGAATGCTGACGACCGCTGCAGAGAGTTGAATGCTCGCAGGCGCACTCTACAAGACATGTTAGAAATGTACAATAAGCGAATCAGGGACCTAAGGAGCAAGTCACTTGAGAAGAGTGTGGTTACAAAGAAAAAAGCGACTCGAAAGGACATGCTACAAGATTATATATCTGAGAGGAAAGAACGTTTCAAGAGAGCTGAGCGAAGGTTGCTCCCTTTGAAGATTTACATAAACCAGTTACACGATTCCATAGAAGATGGCCATAAGGAGTTAAGGCATGCGCAGTTGCTATTAGCCAACTGTAAACAGAGGATAAGGAAGAGAAGCTATGAGTATTATCCTTATACTAACTAAAAAGGAACAACTTAATCGATATTTCTTAGCTTTGCCTTTGCGTTTGTGCTTGGTTTGTAATCGTATCAAAAAGTCGTGGAGGTCGCGCTCAGTATGTCAACGTCTACGCGGTAAAAGCGCTTTTGATGTTTGACAGTTTCCAGATTTTCTAACGTTCTGAATAAGTACAAGTCGTGAAATTCTAGGGAACAAGACGTAGTAACAGTTTTTGAAGGAAACTGCAGCCGGTTGGGTTGTGTTTTTTCTTTCTGAAAGAAGTGTTAATGTCGCGTCAGTTTGGGTTTGAGTTCGGAATGCAAATAGTTTGAGTCACTCTAGTTCTTACCAACAATCACTGCTCTCTGCCCCCTCCACTTAACCGAACTCCAAAACCAGAAAGTTGGATTTCTATTTTCATAAGTTATGGTGTCAGTGAAGTTTAGTGGATGTTTTTCCAACCTCAATCCCAGGGCTTCTGGCCTCTCCTTCCCTGGATCTTGACAGAGAGACCCTGGGTTCTAGGTTTCTATTTCAGGAGACCCATATGACATGAGTAGTCGTCATATCAGATGAGACACACATTATGAAGTAGGTCATGATTTTTAAAGCATCAATATATAGCATTCGATTTCGGAGAATATCGGGCTGAAATTACGAACGTCGTATTTTCCAAGATTTAATTGCAAAGTGTGGTTTAGTTTTGTGTGTGATAAGGCAGTTTTGTATTTAGTGAGTGTTTAGTAGCTGACGATAATTCTTTTTTATAGTGGCACGGTAAAGAAGCGACCATCCTCATATTTTTTAGTCGCATAGAAAGTAGCTTTTGTCAGTTAACGCTTTTAGAAAAGACCAGCATCCAACATTTAAAGTTACAACCGCCCATAGGAAACGTAGTGTAGGTTTTACAAATATAGACTTTAAAAGAGGCCTTAAACACGTTCCTCTGTTTTCGGAACACTGGTGATAAGATGGAATATTGTTATAATACTTTTTAAAAGAGATGTATTTTTCTTGTCTGCTATCTCCATAGCCTGCTTTAAAAGATTTATTTTTGTCATGCAAGGAATAATATATGAGATGTAAAAGTAATGATATTTACTTAAGAAATATTTATGATTTCAGCTATATAAATTAAAGCCATTGTTGTCAGATTGGCCTCAAAACATCTTAGCTAGTCATTGAATTGGCTGGGAACATGCCGTGGGCAGTTCTTTTGGGTGGTCGCTTTTTAATAAGATGGGAAAAGAGATTCTTAACTTTGTTCATTGGCATAAGAAATCTTCCACTTATCGTAATACATGTAGTCGAAAACCATTGAAAGGCGACAAAATGGAATCTCGGCTTGTAATTTGAGTTTGGTTTGACCAGTTCCCGTTAATGCATTTAAGTGTACAGAATCCAGGTAAGTTGGACATTCAGCTGCATTTTTACCACTCCTTGCAGGCAGTTCTTCCTTTTTGATTTTTCTTCCCTTCGCTGTTCAAAGGTTAAGTCGCCGGCGAGTGAATAATTATTTCAGACTGTCCAATCTTTTAAGTATTTAAAATCGGGATTTCTTTTTATCACCGACGAATCACGTGAGCGCTGAGAGTGCGAGCCACTAGGGGGGACTGGGGACATGCTCCCCAGAAAATTTTGAAATCTTAATGCTCTAAAACCCTTTTTTTTAAAAATACTATTGTTCAAATGAGGCCTTAAACTGCTGTTTAAACTTCAGTTTCAGTTAAGCATACTCCGTTAGGTGTTCTAACATAAGTATCGTAAAAATTTATTCGAAAATATCAGAACAAATTTCAAGATCGGGATTTTTCTTATCCCAGTCGCTTATTGGCCGTGATTCGGGATTTTCAAGCAAAATCAGGAGAATCCCGACGAGATTTGGATGGTTGGCGGACAGTCTGTTATTTTCTTAGCTCTGTATAGGCAACCCTCGCGCCATAATCATGATGGACTGTTGGTTGTCGACAATGGGAATGAACCGAGCAAGTGACATTCGAGGGCATTAGTTTAACACAGAGATCAGACAAAAAAAAGATGTATTTTTGACCGTCAAGGTCTGTGCCCTATTTGGACTGTCAAGGTTTAAGGCCCTTCCTTTGTAAATACCCTCCTCACATTGAAAAGAACTTGAAGCAGTTAAGACAATCCTGCTCTGAATTTGTAAGCGGGATTCATAGCTCCGATTCTAGGTGCCCTCCCCGCCCATTGCTACAATCCATAAAAGATAGACACTAGGGGTGGTCACTATCAGAGCTTGTACTTCCATGGTGGTTCTTTTACGCTTTAATCATATCAGTAGGTACCTGCCCAGTGGGGATGGGAACGAGTGGGATTCATCATAGCTCCCATTCTAGGCGCCCTCCCCACCCATTCCTACAATCCATAAAAGACAGACACTAGGGGTGGTCACTATCAGCGCTTGTGTTCCATAGTGGTTCTTGAACGTTTCGAGAAAGTCATCAGGTAGAAGTTAAAACACTGTGGGGCGGGGGCCTGGGGTTTTACGTTCTCACCCGAGAAGATTAGAAAGTTTAATCACTCGCAGATTTCAGAGCAAAGGCAGCATTTCCTTCTCAGTTAGTTAAAGACGCTGAGTTTTGTCCGGCCTGGAATCGAACCCAGGCCTACTGCTCCTAATTCTAACCAACCGTCGGTCGATGAAGAACTTGCGCACAAATTATACTGATGGTCCATATTTGCCTTTTCAACTCTGATAATGGGAGCAAGAAGTTGAGAGGTTTGGAGAGGCCGAGGGGTAGGGGTAGGGGAGTGGCGTATTCGTTGGTATCGCTTTTAACTTGTCAATTGTTATCAATTATAACTCACAGCCTTGTGTACAAGCCGTTGGTAAAACTTTTCATCCTGAACATTTTGTGTGCAGTCACTGTGGCCGACCGATCGGTTCCGAGGGCTTCAATGTCGATCGAGGAAAACCTTACTGCCAAGAAGATTACAACAAATTGTTTTGCGTGAAATGTAGTTTGTGTAAGCGTGCTATCGGCGGTGGAGACAGGTGGGTGGAGGCTATGGGTGAACCTTGGCATGCCTCCTGCTTTAAATGTCAGGTGAGACGTCATTTATACACAAATTTTCTCCGTAATAATTGTGTGTTTGCTTGCATTTCACTGTCGACTAGCCTCCTCCTACGCAGACTTCAGGGATCTTAAGTTCCGAAGATGGCGACGGCAGTGAAAACGTTACTTGAAAAGTGAATTCGCGTTCTTTCAATCTTGATCGCGATTATTCCAACTCATTTACTGTGTCATATATAGGCGAATTCTCTTGGAGTTCAATTCTCAAGATTCATATCCAAGTTCAGAAAGAAAAAAGGAAGTTTCACTGTGGCTTGTTTTCGTCCTCCATAAAATGTGAAATTAGGCATTCTTAAGTCACCTAGTCGTGCAGTGACGGCAAAAAAATGTACAAAGGAAGCGTGAAGGTCCATAATCATCCTGCGCGTCATGCAATCCTCCATCTTAGAGAAGATTGCGTGACGAACCAAAGGAAGATTTCACAAGAGACAAACTGGTGACTACTAAGTACTTAGCAAACATCGTATCGCACATGTGCTGTATCTAATTTTAATTTGCGAGAGTACGAATTATAGATTTTGCTTATTAGCATTCGGTGGCATATAAAGTTTGACATTCGACTTGGACCTTAGTCCTCATTAGTGGATGATCTTAATGTACGGTCGTTTTGTCATTCCGGGTTGTTATAGCGCCATGTTTATGAAATGACCTTGTTCAAGTGACAAGTAGTCTCCCTCGCAGCCGTTTTTAGTATCGTCACGCAACGCTGAGGAGCGTTGCGTGACGATACTAAAAACGGCTGCGAGGGAGACTAAGTGACAAGTGACGCGCCAGAAAGTTGTCCACAGGGATAAAGCTTGGGGCGTTTTTGATAGCGCTCGCGAACGAAGTTGCTCACATTTTTCGCAGTTTGGCCAGTGTTCCAGCGTTCTTGAAATCCAGCCACAGATAAGAGTGAGCGTTCGACAAATAATTCAATAAATGAAACATATATATTGATACACATGTATTGTTTTTCTTCACAGCACCCAGGCTGCACTACGCACCTAGAAGGAAAGCAATTTTATCAATATGGCGGCAAACCGTACTGTGTTTTACATGGAGCTCCTTAAATCCCGACTTTACCGTCGTTGAAAAATTATTGATTGTAAATTGATTGACATACCTTAATTCATGAGAATTTTAATAGAATGCGATAGGGTATAACTGTATCAGTATCTTCTTGGGTTTGTTGGATTCCAAGCCCTTGAATTTAAAGTGACTCAAAAATGTTGTGGAACAACGGCATTGAAATTATCCTTTTTCAAAGAGAAAGTCGGGCTTGAATGAAAAAACTCAAAAAGTTCTATTTCTCTTTATTGATCACTTTGGGAAGATAATAGTTTTTTATCTTCACTGAGTACAGTCCAAGCTTCCTGAAGAGGACACCCTTAGATAGTGGAAAAGTGTGGGCAACCGGCCGCTTACAGGAATTGTTATTGTAACGGGGGAGTCCAATAGGCCAATGTCATAATAGCGTCATTTTACTACAACGACCAGAATCCTTCGGGTTTTTGCTTTCTTGTGCTTGTGCAAATTAATAATTAATAATAATGTTTATTTCTTATATTGCGCAGTCTAGCATGCGATAAAGATATAATAGAATGCGCATTACAACACTGAAATCTTAAAGTAATAAATGGCTAATCCAAATGATGATAATAATAATAATAATTTACAATTTTCGGAAAACAATAAAAGTTAAATATGAGTTAATAAAAGAACTAATAAAAAGCTAATTTAAAAAGATGTCTTTGGTAAAACTTTGGAGCTTTTGTTATTTAAACCTCGCTGGGATTACCAAATTTAAATATGAAAGGAAAAACGAAACGAATTCTAGTCGTAGTAGTAAAATGACGCCATCTTTCAAGTGGCCGAGAAGTAAACTGGGCCGAATTAACTTTCGCAGAGACTTCTGGGACTGTTACTAGGAACAGGAAAATACAACTGGCTAATAGCTGACCGGCGCGTTCCCTGTAGCGATCCCAGAAACAACTACGGGACGCATGTCGGCTCCAGTTCCCTTTCTCGTTTATGAAGTGGTGATCGGGGTTTGTAACCACGGGGCCGTAAGTAGAACGGTCTTGCCTCTTACGAGAGTGTCCTTTGAGAGGTCTTCGACTTTAATTCTGTCTCGTTATCGTTGTCCGCGTAAAAGAAAAAAGTCTAGTTTCTGGAAGTAATGCCATTACAAAAGGGTCCAAAGTAACGTACAGGCAAACAGTATTGCTAACAGACATACAGTAACAACCCGCGACTAAGAACCTGCTAGCCTATACAGGTTCTTACTTAAATGGTAATTAGCACAAATTTAGGCTGTTTAGGGTCTTCAATAGGTTCTGATACATTGTAGCTAAGAGTATTTAGCGGTATTCAGCTCATTCCTTAGGTAAAACCTGTTTACCATTGCAATTGCAGTTGGAGTGATAAGGCACCTATGTCTCCAAAGAGGATCCTGAATGTTGACTTATCTTATTTGCTCAATCTTAAAAACCAGGTTCTTAGTCGCGGGATTTTACTGTAGTCTCCTCTGGTGCATAACTCGCAAGCTGCGATTGGGCATCACTGCAGCCAAAATCTCAGAAAGCTAGAAAGTTGGAGAATTTTTGCAGGAAAATTTTGCACATTAGATGGTAGAGTTAAAAGTACTATTGGGTAGCTTTGATTTAAATGGCGACTACGCTAATCGGGGCACAGAAATGAGGAATCAAAGCGTGATTCTGTGAAGCACGATTCTTTGATGTTAAATAAGGCCTCCGAAGTAATTGTCTGTAAACCATTTGTCGGCAAACCGACTGACTTGATAAAACTATTTTTAATTATAGAAAAAGTGATATTGATACTACTACTGCTACTTATAATATAGATATAATAATGATAATTTTAGGTACTGGAGCAATAAGTAGCTAGGTCTTAGCATTTATTAAACTAGGTAAAGTAACTTTTTTTGTTGCGCTTTTCTGACGGGGCGTTTGTTTGGTTGTCTTCACCTTCCGTTGTGACTTTAGAGGCATTGTAACGCTTCATGACGAGTGGAGCGAATTTTTCTTCAGTGGCATTTTGCGCCATATTTTCTAATCGTGTTGTGCGATTGGCCCTTTTGCACGTTTGTGAAAAACTAGCCTACGTCTAGCTGTACCCACCCACCCCCCTTTCCCCGCGGAGGTGAGAGGTTCCCGCTATACGTAGGAAAGTGCAGACTTTCTCATTTAAGCACCAAGCCTCGTTTGTGAACAAATTCTTCTAGCCCTTGACACTTTGTACGTGGGTATGCTCTTTAACTTATAATTCCAAAACGAGGCTTGGTTGTGTAAAGTTTCAGAGCTCTTTCAAGTTTTAAAATCAATTTATTATTTACCATCGTGCCTTTTGTACGCCAATTCGTTTGCTATTTAAGCACCATTTGAACTCTTAGGTGTAACTCGGTTTAAAGTTGTCGATGCATACAAACTTATACTCTATGGCTATCCATGCGAGAACACATTTATAGGTGGTTAATGGTCTTTATTCCTCAAAGTAGTCAATCAGCGTTGAGCATGGTTTTACCACGTGACCAGTTTTAGCTCATCATTTTAGCGTCGCATCCACTCTTGAAACTGTACAAAAATATTCGTTTACAAAAGATCACTTGTGGACAGCGGTACATAGGTTTGTATGCGTTTACAAACTCAAAAAGACTGGTGTAGACCAAAACAAGTTTTAAACTATCCTCTTATTCATGTTCGGAAATACGGCCTTGCTATTGCCTTTTAAGTAAGACTGAGTCCATGTATCTGGTAACAAATGTTTTTCTGTGGTAGTCGACGTAGTCGATTGTAGGCTTTTGTAAATTTAAGCATGCTAAACTAATAATTTTGCAAATGAGCTGCTTTGTTTTCTTTTCTTTACTTTCCTTTTTTCAAGAACAAAACTTTGAATTCTATTTCTGTAATAAATCTGCAGTTCAGAGAAGGCTCTGTTGCCTGGGTGTTTCTCACTCCTCCTTTCTGCACACACCCTGGTAAGAAGTTACCTTTATCCCTAACCAGTATTAACCTGCCGTAAAACGCTTTTTTGTCTCACAGATTATTCCGGTTATTTGACGCGTTGTTGTGGCGGTTCTGGGGACAATTTCATAAAAATTTAACAAGTGTAATTTACAATTGTTGCTATTGTTTTAGAGTTTGAAAGCAATAGATACACCTGTAAATTACACTTGTAAAAGTTTTATTAAGTGGACCGCTGCATTAGTGTCCAGATCCCTTTAGATAATAATAATCCTGGGCTGACTGTAATTGCACTTCCGGCTTTGGACTTGCACCAATGTACTGCTTGTACCCAGGCGACTTGCGGAAGAGGCAAGAGGCGTATAGGTGCCTATTACGAACCAGCGACGCATAAGTTAACGAGACATTTTTTGTAGCAAAATATAAAATGTAGCTGACAGGACCATTCCGTGCCGTGCCATTCAGTGCCACAACGTTTGAGCGAAGCGCTAGGCGGCCTCGGTCTCTGTGAGTGTCCTTGCCTAGCCTACATAACACGCGTTATTTTTTCGCGCTTTTTAGGCGAGCGAAGGGAAGCGCGCGGCGCCCAGCTACACATCAGGTCGATAATAGGCAAAATTTTTTGTTTTTACGTTTTTCAGATTCTTTTTTTTGGAAAGAGAACATCTAACTCCATGCTTCTGCGGCAAAGCGTACAGTTTTATTCCCCGTGGTTTGAGTATCGGCTTGGTTGCCCTGTGGCTCTGTATCCAAGGAGTTATTCTGGGTTTTTTCAAAGACCTCCATTGGCTCCCCACTAAATGTGTTCTTTCTCCTACGAGCATGCGCAGTTCGTGGATTCATCAAAGGCCTGAATGGATCGGCCACTGCGCTTTGCTTTCTGTACATTTGTTGAGTTTGGACATTGTTGTCACTTTCATTTTCTTCTCGCGAGCTGTTTGTGTCAAGTTGAAACTCTCCGGCGCTATCCATTCGCCGAATTCTAGCACCAACCTGACTAGGTCTTGAATCTTTCGGCTGAGCAGAATTGTTAACGGCTGTTTCTGCTTCAGCAGCCTGGCTTAAAGTTTTTCCTGCTGGATTATTTAAAGACGATTTCGGGTTTGAAGTGTTTGGCGGGTCTGACTGAGAACGCCCTCTAATTCTTGAGCTACTCTTCGCATTTATCAACCTGTTTATATTGATTGTTTTGCGAGCAAGAGATCTGAACGACTTTTTATTGTTTCCTTGCTTTACTTCCTCTTCCTCTTGTCCATCTTCTTTAGCCTCGGCTTCAGCATCTCTATTTTCACCAGCTTTTGCCCCGTTTTCCTCCCCCGTAAATGATATGGGTTTGTGCATGTTGTGAATCGCTTCCGAAGAAAGCTGTCCACTCTGTTTTAAACCCTTCAGAAGAGCTGCTGCAATAACAGAATGCCCAATTTGTCGAAATTTGCCTTTTATGCGCAAAGTTTCCTCCATCGTTAGCGTTGTAACTTCATCAGTATCCGATATGACTCGCTGCCGACTTTTTGATGTCCTGGCATAATGCGAGGGGAGATCACATGGTACTGACTTAGCTCGTAGCACAGCCATATCTACCCTGCTTGGTGCTATCGGAGTCAAAGTGGTCGGCGATCGATTGCGACATTCCACTACTTCTTCAGTTTTAGGAGCACTAAGTGGTCTGTCAAGTATAGGTGATATTCTTTGCAATGAAGGGCTTCCTTCTATCGGAGGTTTTGGCGTTTTTATCGCTGGCAAAAATCCGCCTTTGTCACTTTTTTCTGAGATCGGTGTTTTGCCGGCTGTAAACGCAGGGGCTGAAATTTTCCGTTGCGTGGCCAACTTGTTGCCTGCTGCCAGTCCACGCTGTCCTTTTTCTAAAACACTGATTTTTCGTTGGCGAGTATTTTGTACGGAAGATAAGGGAACATATCCATCTGACACTGATGTTGTCAATGTTCTCTGATTGATACCACTTGTTCCTTCCCCGTGGGCCGATCCAAAGTCCTTTGTACATTTTTGTTGAGCGCTTGTGTTCGCAGCGACGCTG